TTTAATTTTCATGTTAGAATGCTGACCGAGAAAAACACTTAATTGTTGAACATGAAAATATTTCAATTTCTTCTCCTCTTCCCAGATGCTTTGGTGAACTTTCCTGCATCCAGACAGGTACATTAACTGCTCTTTCTTATGAACCCATGAATCAAGGATTTGAATAAGCCAGTGAACTTCAGCACCAACTGACAAAGAAAGTCCTTTGCTGACCTAAAATTGTGTGGTGTTTAGTCATGGAGCTGCAGGACTTGGCAAGTCTGGCTGTATTTCAAGAGAATTCAGTGAGGAGGCCAAAGAGGCAGGCACCTTTTGGAATTTGTGAGTGCTGGTGGTGGCGGCAAGGTTCATTGCAGAGAAATCAGCTCAATTGCATTGATGATACTTAAAAGTAGCCTTCAAACACAGAGGAGCATCCTGGAGGATGCTCATCATCTGGATGAACGTCAGTGGCCTGAGCAGGTAAAGTGCACTCTTGATGATGTTTTTGTATATACACACCTCCTACACATTGGGAAAATAAGTATAGCAGTCTCAAATCTTTGTAAACACAAGGATGTTACTCCCAGATGCAGGATACGCAGGGGAGAAGGAGCTTTATTTGCTCTTTGGCTTATTGGAAATCACTATAATGCTGAGGAAAAATCCATCTCTGAGGCCCTAATTCTTCTCTCAGAACGTCAATAGAAATTTGAAGAACTTCACTGGAAAGCAATTCTTCCAGAAGATGAGAGGGCAGTCTGGATTCTGAGTGTGACAGGTCCTGATAGCCTCTTTCCCCTAGACCTTGTTGCTAGTCTGTCCAAAATGAGGAAGACCAGTACTGTCAAGGGTTTGGCCCACTCCATCTCTAAAACAGAGCTTTAAAAGTGGAAGAGCAGACTCTCAGAAGATGTAAACAGATGAACAGTTAGTAGCTTAAATTCATTTTTAATATTCATCTCCCGATTATTTTGGAAAGGGGGTTAACAAGACTACTCAGAAATTCTGTCTGAATGCTGCATAATCAACTGTGCTTTGGCAAAGTTACTGCTAAGCCTCCCAGAAGCCCTTCACAGCACATCGAGCTCCCAGAGTGGTATAGCTTCCTCTTGGCAAGGGCGTTTGATAGTCCACAGACTTCAGTGCCAGATCTGGAAAACAATAAAATGAACTATAAGCTATAAAGGAAAAAGAAAAAAAAAATAAAAGAAAAATTATACTCATTGTAATTGAGTCAGCTTGTTGAGGGACATAAAAATCTAATCAATTGTTTTTGCATAACAATTAGTTGTCACGTTGGGCTCCAATTGAGCAGCCAGATGGAGTCCTGTAGTTGTAGACTGTAGTAGTAGTATTCCTGGGACACACAAAACCACATGAGGCAATGAACATTACGTTCATCTTTCTATTAATGTGTAAAGAGAGCTCTGCTTAATGGGCAAAAACAGATTTCCCAGACCAAACATATTCAACTCAATGTGTTTCTCCCCTATACATGGCAGATAGAAACCTTTCTTATAATAGATCCTTTCTGGGCTTATAGGTATTGCCGAGTACTCTGAAACTGGAGCATGGGTGGCTTCCAAATGCCCAGATGACATGGAGTATCTACAGGAACTTCATTTCCCTTCTAACATTTTTGTATATGTTACATATGTGTGGCACATTTAAAAGGACACTGATGAGACATTTTTCATAAACATTCTGTTCCTTAAGGTTCATAAAAGCTTCTTGGGAAAACTGAAGCTGAACTCCTTTTCTTGAGTGAATTGTTTTTCTCCTCCATCTGGATACTTTGATTTACTTGGCTCTGAGCTTTCTATTAGCAGCAGAAGCAAGCAGTAATAAGAAACTGAGAGTATTTAAAAATTTATCCCTAAAATTAACCAAAGAAGGGTAAGTCCCATTTTGGCTGTGCAAAGCTTGGCAGCATTCTTTCAAATAGGGTGTTGAATCAAATGTAGTCAAGAAATATGACCAAACAAACACTTTTGGCTTAAATGCAAACTGTGTTTCTGTCCCTGTCTGTATTCCCTAGGATCTTCTTTGTCCAAAAAAATTTAGTGCCTTTGAAAAAGGCTCAACAGAACCACACCAATGTCGGGTTTTATTTAAATGTACCTGCTTGTCAACAGGTGGGCAAGTAGGCAACAGTTTTGACTCGAAGATATGGGAAAAAAAGTTGAATTTGGTGATTCTTTCCCTAGCTTCCAATAATAATTAAAGCAACAATAATTCCTTTAAGATTTAATGATCCTTCTCTTCAATGGAAGAGAACTGCTAAGGGCAGTTACCACTGCTGCACTGCATGAATTTAGCATAATGCTGGTTGACCTTGCACTGACTGTGTGTTGCACACCTGCTATGGGCAGCCACCCTTCTGCTGAAGCTTTGGTCAGCCTGCCACATCAACCTCTCCTCGGAAGATATCAACCTCTCATTGATTTATTTGACTGTTAAGAAGATCTTTTATCTTCACCATGAAACCTTCTTTTTTACCCTCTCACGTGGTCTTCGGATGGAATTTCTTTCTACTTTTCTCCTACTTTCACAGTTCTCTCTAATTTCTTCTCCCTTCTGTCTTCTAATCTGACTCCTAGTTTCACAGCTGTGCAGACTACTTATTGAGAGCTGTCATATTCTTTCTTATCTCTCCTCCTACTGCTTGTACCTGAAGATCTCAGCTACAAATATGTAGGTTATGTTCTGGGGATTCCACAACAGCTCTTAAGGATCAGTGCACAAGTTGCTTTCACTGCTGTAAAACAGTATTTGATAACTACCCATGAAAACAAAACTCTACTAAAGATTCACCTCCTACCAGAAGACATCCTAATTTCAGTTCCCTTTCACTGCAATTTGCTAAAGAATGATTAAATTGAATTGTTTTCTATTTTATATATCTATTTTTATCTATAAATTATATATGTATATCTATTACTATATTGAAGTAACATACATATTACTCTTTTGAAGTCATTCTAATGTAATACTACACTAAAACAATGGACTGATAACTGAAAGTAATACTTAATACATTTTCAATTAATAGCTTGTCTAAAAATGGATTATTGTCAAAGAGATGAAACCCTGTTATTATTATTTCTTAATGATTGAACTAAAATGACTGAGTCAGGGCTTTGTTCCTCTGAGAAATCATAAAAAAAAAAAAAGAACCTCTTTCTTCACATTTCAACCAAGGACATCAAAATTTCTACATGTTTGTGGAAAGGTTGTCCCTTTTGGGGAACATCCATTCCCCATATGTATATCTGAAACATCTGAAAAACTCTCTTTTCATTTAGCCTGAATAGGCATTTGTAGTCATAGGTACCAGAAACCCAACCATTTCAGATTTTTGTCTTGGCCAACACTTTTCAAATATGAGATGCTATATTTCATTAAAGTACACACAAAGATTATGAGAAAAAATACTCTTTCTTGTAAGAGAAAACTTTAATTGCTGCATTCATATTAAAATGCACACGAAGATTTACTTTCTTATTCTAAGCTGGGACAGCCCTTCAAACTAACAGTGCTGGTATATTGCTATTATGCTGTCATGTTAAAAAAAAAAAAGAAAAAAAGAAAGAAAAAAATTTTCAATTTTAACAACTTCTTGTCTTTTTTACCTTATAATTAGAGATTTATTATGGCTTTTAATCTCACTTTTTAATGTGCTTTTTATTGTTAAGGATGATAGATCCAAGAGGATTTTTGGATTTAAGATGACTCCTTTGGGAGTAACCTGTATAAGAACTGCTGGATGCTGCAGATAAGCTTGACACTTCTGGGAAGCAATCTATGTGTGAGGTTTTGGTGGGACTGTGTTAGTGGTTCCAACCACCACCTAGGGACAGTGTGAGCCCACAGTTTGCTCAGTGTTCTTGACCCTACCCTGGTAGAGTGTTTCTATTTGGTTTCTTGCTGAGGCAGTGGGCAAAGGCACTGATGAGATTCCTTGTCCAGATATATCACTGAAAGGTCACAGGCAAATTCCCAAGCGACACTTTTATCGTATAAGTCTGTCTGTGCTTTGGTGTCTGTATATGAAGACACACACCCAGGAACCTCTACTTGCATTGGCTTGCATTGGTCATGTTCAAACTAGATGATTCTACTGTGGCTATATCTATTTAATCCTAGGCCTACCAGGGTGAAATTTGAGACTCCAAATAACTACCTACTGCTATGCATGGCAAATGTAGTATTCCTAAAGGGAAACCCATGTAAGACAACCAACTTCCCCCTATCATGGCAGGAGAGGTGTTTGGAAGTACACACAGTCTGTGAAGTGTTTGGTGACCACATCTAGGCTCTTGGGGCTGTCCCTGGTCTGTCATAACTATAGACCTTTTTGCAAGAGAAGCAGTAGTTGTGTCCTAAGTGTCTTTCTGGATGAATCTAATATGTCAGGAGGATGCATCTGTCCCATGCTCCCGTGTGGGCTCTGCAGTCACAACCTCAGCCTTAGAGAATCTCAGGGTTCCTTAATTGCCTACCCTAATGAGCTCTCAAACTTGAGGTGTAGTCTTATGGGTCATGGGACTTGTTCTGGCATATTGCAAACAGTTTCACCAGGTGTTCAAATTTCAGATTTTTGTCTATGGGCCTGGGACTTTAAAATTTTTGTTTTATCTATGTGTGTTTATTATTTTGGTATAAACAGCATCCAAAGGTGCCTTGTTTTTTCGTGCTGCCTTGGCATATAGAGTGTCATGAGATTAAGCATTGTTAATATGTCCCAGGCTCCAGACCTCCTAATCAACCTAATCAGGCTGGCTGGGCCGTGCAACAACTTAGGAGAATCTTATCTTGCCAAGCTTGGTATTGGCAGCTGGAGAGAGCCCATGGAAAAATACCAGTGAAGAAGACTTCTCAGGCAATCATGAAAAATACATTCATAGGAATGTTCTGAACGGTCTGGAGATGGAAGTTTTGCACTGACATGTTTTTTTTTTCCCAGGGAAATAAAAAATTTTGTAAAAAAATTCTCACGGAAAAATTTTTATTTGCAGTTTCTCATTTCCGGGTTGACCGCCACAGATTGCAGAAATGGAAATCTGCCTTTGAACTAAGTAAGGAAGCTGTATGTGTGGACACCCAGCTGTTGACTTGCATCTGTCGGATTTGATACATTTTGATAGTAGGGGAAGTGTCAAACCTGAAACATCAAAATAACATACATGCCCAGATTACAATGTACAGTCTTTGCCAGATGTCTGATAACAATCTTCCCAACTCACTTGGTCCAATGCTTTAAACATATAACAAAATAAGCAAAGTCTTGGTCTTTTGTCACTGAAGACCACAAATTGCATCTTATCACTATCGGAAAATGGAAATTATATATGCCTGTGTGTGGTCTATCCCTTATTCACCAAATTTCTCTCTGTAGAGATGCTTTTTTTTTATTAGGTTTTCATTACAAATCTATTGCAAAACACAGATTTAAGTAGAAGGAAAATCTTGTGTGTGGCACTGGCAGTTTTACTAATTGACTAAATGACTTGTGGGTGTGGATTTACCTGAACTTCAGCATCTGGACATTTTTTAGGAAACTATTTGTTGCAAAAAAACCCACTATATTGACATTTTGATGTCTGCTACTATCTCCATCAATACTTGTTTAGAATCCTTATGTGCTGTCTCCTCCTCAAGCTTGGCTTAAGGATTTAGATTTATTTCATTAGCTGAAATTAAGAAAAAAAAAGGTGCCCTCAGATCAGAAACATTTACACCCCTTTCATTGTAATATCATCCTGAAATTACTTTAACCCTAGTGTAACTTTCTCAGAAAATATTTTTACATAAATGATCTATATTGCAACAAATACGCATTTGTCAGGCAAAAAAAGAAAAATAATAATTAGGTAGGTTTGTATTTCTAGAATATTCCTCATATAAAATTAATGTAGTGCGACACATACACGCAAGGCAGTAAAAAAAAAAAAGAACATTGAATTAGTGATTCAAATTCTGTTTCCAATTAAGTTGTTGTATACCCAGAGCAATTCCACAGATTGCTGCATTATTACTTTTGATTTATTCCAGTATAATTAAGAAAAACTTATGTCATCAACTCCAGTGAAAGCCACAGTCTGAAAATTTAAACTAGAGAATAATGCAAGATAGTCTCTGACTAATGAATTGAAACATAATTCAGAACCAAAAGAAGCAGTGATTTAATAGTAGTATCCTTTAATTGTCCTATGTAATTTTGCATTTCAGGTATACATCCCAGTTAGAAAAAACCCCTAAGTACTAAGACTCAAACAAAAGCATTTTTAATTTTATTTTTTTATATTAGAGATGTTGGTCTGCCCATCATTCAACAGTTAAATTCATGGAACAATCTAGACCTCTAGCAGAATGAGTATATTATGCTCCACTAAACTTGTTCTGAGTTCAAAATAATCACATTCTACTCCATTTTCCTCATTCTGATACATTACTTTCCTGATACATTCCTCAATATGTTTTTTTTCTGAGATTTACTTCCTAATGCCTACTCAAATCATCATTTTGTTTACTGTGTATATCAAGTTGTATTTAGCCCTCATATTCCCAGATTGTAGTTATCTATCCCCCTTTCTGCTAACAACCTTGCAAGAATTAGTGCAAATTTGTCACTTATAAAAGCAGATGTCTTTTTGCCATTAATTCTTCATCACCTGTTTGATTCAGTCAAACCTTATTCTGAATTATTTTAAACACATTCTCATACTTTCTGAGTGATTATTAAAAACTCTGTCCTGAGAGAGGCAACTCTCTCAGGATGATCTGGCATGAGAATTTTTGGGCAGTCCCAGAACCTGTACTGTCAGTACAGTGCCTGTACAGTGTCTTAGAAAACAAATTAAATGTTGCTGGCCACTTAATCAAGCACCATGGATCCTGCTACAAAATCTAGTAATAAACTAGCCAGGAAAAGCTATAATTCTGTGTTCAATTAATTTTTTTTCCAGAGAAGAGGGGATAAATGTCAAACTCACAAAGAGAGACTGCTATTTCACTGCAGAAATAATTAGATGGACCTTTCTTGACTTCTAGACTACAGAGTAAAATACTTCTTCCAGGTAATAGTGCCCTTTGTGCTGTTTTTAAGAGTCAGTGACTGATGCTTCCTCTTGCAAAGGCACACTTCCCTCTGTGATTAAATATTTACTGCAGTGAGAGACCAGTAGTAGGACTATGTGTCTCCAATTAAATATTGTGGAGGTTCATGAGGGACTACAGTACATGCATAAATATTTTAAAAGATCAGGTCAGAGCAATGTTCATATCAGGCCATCTTCCTGTAGATCAGGGTGTGCTGTTTGTTGGTAGGCAGGTGCATGCCTACTTACCAACAAACAAAACCTCTACTTGTTGTGCCTTTGCTATAGATCACTTGTTAAATTACCACATTAATCATGCATATGAAGAGCTCTGCCTTGCTGGTGATTACTGAGGGCAAGCAAAACATAATTAAAGGTGCTACAATCTGTTTTGTTTTTCCAGGGTATTGTTATTATTTCCAGGGTTCACCCACAGGAAGGAAATTCACATCTAATTCTCTTGACCGAGAGGTGTCTATATTTATGGGGATCTTAGCCACAGGGGAGTCATCTGTGTCTGCTTTCATTGAAAAACAAAGGACAGGGCATTTTGCCCGAAGTCTGCTATCAAGGGCATTTGGAGGGAGTGGAAGAGAGTCAATAATGCTCTCCTAGGCTGTCTGCTGACCCAGTGCATAAGATCATGCTCCAAGAGGAAGGTTGGCCAGTCCTTGGCTTATATCTTAAGGAAATGGATCCTGTGAGTCATCGACAGGGCTTTGGATTTAATGGCCACTTGCAGTTTTTTCACTTCTCTATGAAGAACAAATCTAACTTGGGGTCCATCTAAAACCTACACTTATGGAATTTGTCTGGTTTGCCTGTACCTTCAGTAGAGTCCCTAAAGAACCCAGGGCTTGCAGTCTTCTGTCTGCAGTTCTCATCCTGACTACATGTTGTTTGTTGTAATAGAAAGAACTAAGGGGGGTAAAGAAAAAAAGACAAAACCTGAAGCTGTGACTGTTGCTACAGACTGGAAGAATCAGAATAATAATTTGTTTTATACCAAACTGTAGTCATATAAACAAATACACTTCTGGATGTGATCAGGAAACTAATTAATCAACAGTTTATCAAACATATGTCTGAAATTAGAGTATGAAACAAAGCAATTTTTATACAACCCTTTGAGATTTGAGAACACATCTTTATAAGGTGTTACAAAAGCTTACAGCAGTTTAAGGCATGTACCTGAAACAGATTCATTGCTACTAAGACTGAGACAATGACAAAAGTATATTTCAGGCAAGGGATATACATTGCTGAGTTTGAATGCATTTCCTTTCCTAACAGCTCTGTTTTCAGTTTCTCCATCCTACTTCATACAGGTATGTGTTTATCTAAAGCTTAGACTGTCTATTCAGGATCACCTCAAGCAGACTTGTGTTTTGGGGTGCATTGTAATACATTTGGAGCAGCACAATTTCTCCTCAGTCACCATGGAGCCTGAATTCCCTTCACACCCTATATGGGAACTGTGTGATTTTGTGAAAGGTTCGTGGTGGAACACCCCACTCCCTGGGGCAGCAGAACCCAGGAGAAGCAGAGTTAAGCTGCAGCAAGGCTTCATTAACCATTAGCTGTGTTAATGGGCAGCACTGGGAAGCAACAGAGGCTCATTAGGTTTCCTGAGATCTCACATGTGTAGGGAGGAGAGGCAACTGCTGGGGTTTTCTGGGAGTCCTTGCCTGTCAGGCCACAAAAGAGCCATTTATACTCACAGGATCTTTCAGTATGAACCCGTTTTGCAGTCAGATGCTTAAAGATACTTCAGGTAGTTGGTTATTTCTGGTGGGTAACAGGCCTTTCGTTTCAGCAGTTTTTTGTGCAGGAGTTGAGAAATGTCTTTTTTTTTTTTTTTTCAGGCTAAATAAAAAGGAATTCATGAAAATGTGAATACTCTGAAATTTGACAAAAAGTCTGGCTGATAAGAAGAGGTTACCAACACTACTTACATTTAGCACAGAGAGGCATATTCAAGGGTGGTACCTACTGAAGCAGGAATGAGGTAACCTGGTGCTGGAGCTTTTGGGGATCATCTTTTGTAAACTGCTCTCCTTGGGGCTGAGGAACAGCACTCCTGTCTCACCTCTGCTTGAAGGATTCCAGGGTCTCAGCAGTGCAACTATTGTGGAGAAAGCATCCAGAACCTTTTAGAAAACCTGAAGCAGGGCAGGTAAGCAGTATAGGGCCTTTCTTTTGCCCAAAGAAAACACAAACTGCCCTGTAACTTCTCCAATGAAGGGTAGCACTGTATCTTCACATGCACTTGTGCAGCCTTGGCCATGATGAAGCTGCTATGCTGGTCAGGTCTTCTGTAAGCCATACCCAGTAGGTGTTGAGAGGGCTAATATCTCCTGCCTGCATTATATGGAAGAGATGAGATTTGTTTATTTATTTTTAGAATGGAAAACAGCCTCAGTTTTGGCAGAAAACTGTGAGATTCTTTAACATATAAACCAGGTTGCAACAATGTCCATGGCGGGTAAACAGCCTTCTTTTTTGTATTTAACAGATGTACTCCTTGCCTCAAAGTTCAAGCTTGCACACATTTTAGTCAATGGACACCAGTCAGGACATACCCTCTTCATAGGCAGTGCCTTGAAAGACAGACTTCACTTCTGGATCATATTAAAGAAGAATGGACAAGCATTAGGTTATTTCCTTGGATATGTAAAGATATGTTTCAAGTGTGCTGATCTTGTCATTGTGATGATGTTTGTTTTCAGTAAATTTGACTGAGTGGGGAACACATGAAAAATACATTTCAGGCAGCATCTTATTTTACAAACTTAAAAACTACATACCTACATGAAACACCTTAGCAGGTTCATTTCTGGTGAAATGAATAAGTACTAGCACACATCAAACAGGCCATCAAGTCACCTGTGACTGGCTTGGGTGGGAAAAAGAAAAGTTTTCATATGGATTATTATGATAACAATGTCAGAATAATAATTATCTTTTTCTTCACAACAACATGTGCACAGCAGTGTGAAAAACCCACTTCTTAACATCTGTCATCTCAAAGGAATCATAATTTACCATTCCAACCCAATCAAATGCTCAGGACAGTATATAGCTGCTACAAACTGAACATGTTCAATTCCATTTAAAGCTGTTTTGACTTCAGTAGTACCCAGAGATTCTACGTAGGCCTGGGATGATAAATATACTCCAAGATATGGCCAAGGGCCAAGGAACTGTTGTTTCAATGCTTCCTGCTCTTGCTCCTTGACAGGGTCTTCAATAAAGCTGCATCTCCCAGGATGGACCACAGTCATGTAAGCCACAAAAGTTCACAGTAGGAGAATGAGCCAGACTGAGAAACCCTGGGGGAATCTGAAAGAGTTTTTCTCATTTTTTTTCTTTTTTTTTCTTTTTCCTCAGAAGGGGAATATTCTAATATTCAGTAAAATGTTCCTGTATTAAACAAAAAGGATTAAAATGTTCCCTTTCCCCTTCCCCCTTTCTTTTTTTTGTCCCCCAGAAATAATGTTGAGAATTTTTCCAAATATGCCTACATGGATAAAAAGTCTCCAGTTAACATACCCTCTTTTCAACTGTATTTATTCCTCTCTGTAGCACGTGCTACAAATATATTCCTTAAATTAAAATCAGAAAGGAGAAGAAGCTGCAAAACAATGTATGATATCCTTTAAAAATTCAGAAGAGTGAGTACAGTATTTGGCCAGAAGAATGGGAGGGTCCAGAGTTCTTCATCTTTATGAGTTTACAGAGAAGAATAAAAGAAAATGCTTGCACTTACTGACAAAATTTAGAGGATGCAGGAGTCAAATCCTCTAGCAAATTAGATACGTTGACAGAAATACAGAGAATTCCCTTATGTATTACCGAAATCTTTCATCTGGAGATGTGAAAGTATTTCTTAAGGCTTTAAGAACTGCTTTCATAGTGACATCTGGGACAGTTACTCCTTAAAATTACTTCTAGAAATATTTTGGCACAAAACAACACAGAAGTTAGGTCTTATAAAACTGGAGATGATGGTGGTGTTTTAATTGGAGGAATGGTAACATTCTACATAAAAAAACAATTGTCTGAAAAGTAAAACTGTATATGACCAAAACTATTCATAAACTTCGAATAAATTCAGAAAATTCTTTTTACACAAAGTTTTAATAATGATACACAGGGGACAATATAGCTGAGGAAACACATGTAGAAAATAGCTTCATTATTTGATTGAACATCTTGAAAATGTGGAACAAGTTCAGACAATGAAAATCTACTTCCTAGCAGAAAGGGGAGCATGAATGAAATGGCTGCATGACTCAACTAAAAATAAAGGCAAAGCAGAAAGTTGAGTGCATATTTAATAACTCTACTTCAGACCCAAGTACCCAAAGCTGACAATTCAGAAGAGGATGGGTATATATGCCATGGGACAAAATACTCTGAGATGTGCGAGATGTTTGTCTGATTAACAAAGAGAATTTAGGAACCATTCAAATGCTTTAACTCAAAGGGACTTAAAACTACATGGCTGTCTGGTTTAAATGTTGTGTAAGATGTGATTGGGTTAAAGAAATTATGCACGCAAAATAAAGACATAATATGCCTTGAATTTGATTTTTGTCTGTCAGAGTTACAAATGGATTTCTGAGTAACCACATATCATGTCGCTCATAAGAGGACTAAAGAGAAGCACAGTGACTGCACTGAGGAAACACAATGTGCTGTGGAAGCACAATTGCAGTAGACTTCCTCTTGGGATTACTTTTGGAGTTTAACTGCTAAACATAGATATATTTCAATAGGTTTTGGAGTTTTTTCTACATGTACCACAGATTCTTGGACTGACAGGTTGAGAGGAGGTATTCTAGTAATCTACCCTCATTTACAGGTAAGACTAAGAGCAAATATCAGTACTTTAATTGAACATGATAGAAACATAGGAGGCTATATTGGTTTTAGAGTAGGTTTGGTGATAACAAGGAGAGATGTAGCACTATGAAAAGAAAACAGTGGTGTTACATAAAATTTCTTATTTTCCTATTCTGAATGTTTATCAGATATGCTTTCAGTGTTTGTGTGAGAATTCTCAACAGGCAGAAAATCAGGTGCCTCCACTGTGGTTTGAAGAGAAGCAGTGGCACTGGCAGAGAAAGGACACATGGAGCAGTTTGGGATGATTGAACCTTCTGTATCATGCCAGCCTCATTCGTAGAGGAAGCAGGGTGGTGAAATTAGTATGAGAGGAGAGGTATATAAATATACAGAGGGTCCCAAAGTGCTACCTGTATTACTACATCACTACTAGAAATTTTTCCTATTTTTCATAATGGGTACTTCTTGCAGTTTCTTCAGAAAAAGTGACACTTTCACCTCAGTGAGGTTATTGTCTTAGAAAGACTAAAAATTAGTATTTTACATGGATTATACTAATAATTTATAACTAAAAAGCAACATTTTTTTTAAGTAACACAAGGCTTGAGGCCTCAGAGTTCCTGCAGAGGAGTATATCAGGACTTTGTCACATCCTTCTAGGCTGGAGTGCTGGGCTAAATAAGTCTCCAGCACCCAAAATGAGATGTAGTCCTTACTAATACAGTGGCAGCCAGAAACACCTGAGCATCAACTCTGAGCAGACATGAGTAACCTCAGCATGCCTTGCAGAATTTGTGCAGTGCATGTGCAAAGTGACTGCCAACCTGGTGCATAGGTTAAAGAAAAGAGAACAGAAGAACTTTCCTAAAATTCATAAATGTCAATGATAGATCAGGAGCACAAAGGACAGTGGGAACAAACTGAAATGAGAGTTTCATACTGCCCATAACGGTAGCCAAGCAGGCTTATGGACATATTGTGCAGTCTTGTAGCAGGGTGTAGGGCTGGGTGTCGTCCTTCCAATCTGATTTATATTGTGATAACAAACGTGGATATCACAGGTTCATAGATGTTGCTAAAAAAAACAACAACAAACCAACCTAAAACAAACAACCAAATAAAAATCCCAAACAAAACCCAACCAAAAAAAAAAAACCCAAAATACAAGAAGTCTTTTATTTAATACTGCGGTGCTCTCTAGAAAACTAGAAAAATGGTGGTGTGGAAGTGCAGACAAATATTTATACAACACCTGTTATATATGATATACGAGAGATAACCAAAAGAATTAAATTGCTGTCTCAGCAAGAGATCAGTGAAAACAGAAGAGATTTGGATGAAAAACAGGCTTTGAACTTGCATTGATTAGAACTTCACAAGTTTAGTCAATGAACTAATGTTAAAAAGTCACCTTGGTCAAGTGAAATTATTAAGTGGAAACATTTTTAAAGGGACCAAAATGCTTGCGAAAAGGATATGACAGTCTGACATAAAATAAGCATCTGGTAGCAGACTGAAGTGAGAGCAGCTACATAGAAAAAAAAGAAAAGAAATGGAATATTTTAGTTTGGTTTCAATAGAAGAGATCAATCACAGGGTTCGGGTTGGTCTTGTGGCAACTTGTTCTACAATTGTATTACAAAAGGTGCTTAAGCACCCTATAATTTGAGCCCTACTGTTTTTATAACAACACTAGAGGAAGGAAACTTAAACTAATATTTTAAAAACTCTTTGGGAAGTTTAGTATTTCATTGTTTTATTATGACAGACAGTTTTCATAAAATGGAAATTTTCCCTAAATGCATCAGAAAATGATACCTGAGGTTTGCTTACCTGATCGAACTCAAGGGGTAGCTTTTAAGTCGGGTGGGCAAAGAGCATTCATTACACCTGTTGTCAGAATAGGATCTGATCCACCAAGGAGAGCATGGACCTGGCAATATAGACTGTGGATCACAGAGTTCTCCAGCCCTGTTGGAGGAAACAGATCTGTGCTGAACATACCCTCATCCCTCCCAAAAGTTCTTGTGCTGTTAAGTGAAATGAGAGAAGTTTGCAAATGACAAAATATTTTTACTTGCTTGGCAATGTCAAACTTCATTTTGACATTTCTGAGGCCCTTCTATGAAACCAAATCCTTTTGTAAATCATTTGAAAACGTAGATTTTTCGTTTTAATTCTGGATGCAAACAAACAGTGAAATATTTCAATTATCCATGAGGTGAAAACTGATTTTGGCCAGTTCTATTTGGTAATCAGTTTAGTCACTGAATGGATTTTAGTGATTTACAAAGTTCCCAAGATATGCCAGATATTTTTTCTTTCTCAAGAAATGGTGAAATGACCTCAAGCATGGTAAAATGGATGAATTTTTCTAATCTTAGACAGACCTGCAAGGACCCTCTCTAACTTTGGTACCTTTTGCTTTCTTTCCCCTGTGTAAACATATTATATCTTGCTTAGTAGGAGCTGTGAAGCACAGTTGTTCATAAAGTGTAGGTTTTAGACCACAAATTATGATATACATAACATTAGGAGTAAGGTTTGCATATAGTCTGCCTTATCTGCTGCTAAGCAAGTGTGTTTAGGTACTTATCTAGAGCCTAGTATTAAAATTCATCTGCTTGTTACTTTTCTTAGTTTCAACCCCTTTCCTAGAGTGATTTCTTCCCTTGCTGTCAGACCAGACCTCCTCTAGGGGTAAGGAAAGAATCCTGTATGAAATTATCATATTTAATGAGCATTTTGCTACCTATTAGACTTTACCCTCTTCATTATCAACATTAACATCTCAGGCAGTACATTTGCTGAAACGTTTCCCAGGTTGTCAGGAATATATCTCCTTAGACACCTGGCCTGCAACTTCTATGATCTTCATTGGACATGAAGCCAGTGTGCGTCCAGGCTAAGTTTTCCTCAGCATAAATAACAGTGTATATTGGTCTTTCTTGAAAGTTCACATCAAGGCTGAAAGACTTGTAAGTTAGTATACAATGTCAGTGAACTCTGAAAATTGAAGCTGAGGATCTTGCTGTGAATAATGACAAGCCTAGACATGATCAATAGCCATGTTCCAAGGTGTCTGTGCATAGATGGTGGTAAAACTGGCACACTTTATTTCCTCATATATCTGTTCAATTTTAAACCATGATGTACCTACATGTACAGATTTTGAATTTCGTGCTGCATGTAGTGATTACAGCTGATCATCTGAGTAGATCTCAGAAAAAGAATAGGGAATAGGAAAGCACTTGATTACTTGGCCTAGATCTTCAGTAGCACAACAAAGGTCAGCAGAAAATTCACATCTGTTTTCAATAGGCTGATCTGGATCTTGCTTCTATTGCTGAATAGCAAAAACGTTCATTTAAAACTGATCTAACACTGTGCAAGTATAAAAGTACAAGATCAGAATGAGAGTTAGGAGAAACCTTCAATAAACATTTTTATCTTTGTTGAACGGTTTCTCACATTTTTAACCTGTTCTAGAAATGTAAATGTAAACTTTATTGGGAAAAAAGACCATATGGGAGAAGGAGATTGAACATAGGTCCTGGCAGAAAACACAAAAAATCTTGTGGGTCTTTTCACAGAATTGTGAAAAAATGAAGCAATCTTTTCTTTTTTTGCAGAACAGCTCTAAGATTACAATGTGCTATGGCTGTATCAATGAGACTGTGATCAAAGTAATGACTTAAAACTCAGTGAGATATGTTGGGTTTTGGTTTTTATTGTTTTTTTTTTCTTTCAGGATAGCTATTAATGGAAGAAGTCCCAAAGACAAGTGCTCGTTGACCAAAAGCAGGCTAATTTGCAAAGATCAATGGTCCAACAGCATTCATCTATCATCTTGGACATGCATGCACAGTAATCAATGGCCATCCATCTCTTTCCTGTAGGTCGATTAATCTTTTAAATTTTGTAGGCTTTCTACTCTGATATAGTGCTTTTTATAATACCTGCACAAGCTTTTCTTTTTATATAAAATTAAAAAAAAGGATGAAACTATCTAAACTGTGTATGATGTAGTTCTTCAAAGTCTAATGGGAATAACTGTTTGAGGCATGAAGTTACCTCGTGGCCATTTCTTGCTCGTGTTTTGACGCCACACAGTTTGAAATGCCTTTACCTGTAATGATTTTAAACTCAATTAAATAACAGAACTTCAGAACTGAGTTTATGGTTTATGAAAATGAGCAAATTAATCTTGTAGAATAGCATAAAGAGCCAGTGTTGTCAGATGGGATTGGTGCAGTCTTGAACTTGCAGTAAGATCTGTATCTTACAGAGGAAGAAACATTATCTGTAATCTGAAATAGGAGAAGGAACTATGTTAAATGCATGTACCTCTGAACGTTTAACTTGGGAATAGACCTTACCATCCTCCTTGTAAAGTTAGATCTCTATCTTGATCAGGGGAACCTAATCAAATATCCTTCAAAACAGACCTTCAGCTAGGTGGAATAAATGGCCACCTGACAGTTTATAAGATATCTTGGCAAGAAAAGAACAAGAATTGTCCTTGGAATATCCCACAGTGTGCAAAATACTTAGAGAAAGATAGTATCTTGCTCATAATACAACCTATGCAGTCTTAATTGAAAGACTTCTCAGCTGGAAAAAAGTAGAAAATACTTAGGTAAATTATCATCTTGCTTAAGGCAAATAATTCCTCCTACTTTTGTTTATTTGTTTTGTTTTTCTCAAAAAAGAATTTCATCAAAACCTGTAATATTAGCAGAAAATTCTAAAATTAGATAAAAAATTAACCTTCATTATTATTAGTCTCCTTTTTACTATTTTCTTTCTGATATATCTTACTGTATTCTAGTGCACCAGGTTTTTGTGAGAACAACCTGTTCCTGTTGTGTTTTTGTAAACACTCTGCTTAATGCAGAGTGTAGATGGATGGAATAATATAAAGTATGTTGATAAAAAAAAAGTTGAAATCACAATTTACTAAGTGGTTTACATATGTCTAGCATATTGTTATATTATTGTATATAGATTTTGATTTTTAAAAAGTTAAGTTCTTCAAGAGAAGAATTAAGGAAATTTATCCCAGGCAGATTGACCACAGTTGTCTGAGTTCTGTTATAATAAAACGATGTAGCAAACTGGAAGCAAAATAATTAATGTTGAAAATACGTGAACAGATATTTCCTGTAGGTATTCTTTAGCTAAAGTCAGATGTGTCCCTAGTGATTAGTATGATGGCAAAATGTAGACAGCAGGCTGATGTTATTCATCCAACAAATTTTTATCACTTTCTGAACTAAACTCTTCACATAACTCAGGAATAAGTTGATGTATAACTAAAAAAACAAAACAAAACAAAACAAAACAAAAAACCACAAAAAATAAGCCTCATATCTTGGTTAGTGTCTCACAGGAAGACTGGCAAAACAAAGAACCCAAATCTTCCAAGGCTTGGTTCTGTTCCATAATATTTTTCACAGAAGACAAGTGTCACTATGCAACTGCCATTCAAGATAAGTGGAGTCTGCATTTCATTTTGACTCTGGGGCGTCGATGTGCTGATTAGTTTTCTGATACAGCTTGGTTGTCAACATTTAAAACATTTCTTGGAAGAAGAAAAATAATTTTGAACAGAAGGCATTCTGTTATACCTATATTTATACATATTTCCCTGCACCCTCAAAACCCAGTTATAAAGCGACTTATTGGAAGAGCTGTCACCATCACCTTGGAAACTGGTCCATTGACAGCATGTTTCAATCAGTCGTCTCTCACAAGTATAGAGCTTTTTTTTTTTTTTTTTTAAGCATGTTTGAATAGTTTGAATGCTTACCCTGAAAAAGGAAAAAACATGAAACATGCTAAATTCAGAATGGACATTTTGGAGGGTGACATCTCTCATCAAACAGAATAGCTGACTTTTTTTTCTTTTTTTTTTTTTTGCAACTGATCACAAATTTGTAATCAGGGTGTTTGCATGAGAAGAAGTTCCAGTCGATGCTCCACAGGCTGCTTCAGTTTCATGTGAAACAGTCCTTGATGATGAACCTATCTACCTGGTACCTACTCATCAAGGCACTTTTACTGTCTCCTTTTTTGCCGCAATATGGGAGAGTACCTTCTTTCCAGAATAGTGGGTAGCTTTAACATTCTCTTGGGAGACATGCAGCTGCAAATCCCTTTAGGTTGAGGAATACAGGGAAAGTGGCTCTTCTGCATTTTTGAAAAGTGATCTATTTACATAAAAGGGTGAGGCCACATCCTACAGTAGCTGTGCTCTCCAAGGGAGAAAAGAAGCAAGCTGTTTTGTCTTCATAAGGGAAGAACTGAAGCTCTGATTTGGAGAGAGTAGGTTGTCTTTTGTTTGCACTGCACACAGCACGTGGTGCCTGGCAAATCATGGTGTTTAAGACCTGCCCACATCAGTCTTGTTACACTGGATACCCACCTCTGGGTTGCCCAGGGGAGATCCCCAAGTACCTGTCTCAATATTACAATTTCTGTTCCAGAACTTTGACCCCTCAAGCTGATTACTTCAGTGCTCATCATTGCAGACTAAGCCCAGTTTTGGAATTGTGCTTTAATCAATCAATACTTGTGGATACAAGGCCTGATCTCAGATCAGGACCACCAAATACTGGTAAGAAGTTTTTGCTTATGGGTAAGAAAAATGATGATATTTCCCTGTATTAGAAGGGCATCCAGAAGAAAATACATAAAGAAATCACCTTTCTTGCTAAGATATCCAAACTTTTTCCATTGAAATAGTACTGAATGAAAGTGGTTTAAGGCCTACCATGAGTGAAGTGCATATGCTATGTATTTTTCCAGGGATATCATTAACATGAGTTATTTCTGTATTTATTATTATTTGTTGTATAAGTAACATCTAAAATGCCTTACAGAAAGAGGATTAAAGGAAATATATATATTTGCCTTTTCTAATTTCACTAGTACCTTTTGGAAGTGCTTTATGCATGGTCAGATTTAGTTTTCACTACAAAGTCAATTACTTGGTCTCTTATGTGCTGGTTTTTTAAAAAGCAACAGAGGACAGATGAAGATTTTAAAATATGATTTTAAGTCCAGAGAAATTGTCAAGGAGTCTCAGCAACAGGTAAAAAGCTTCACAACTGCTTTAAGCTCTTTGTGTTAGATCAGGCTCTTTTTCAACTTCATGGCATCTGCGAGTAGATCCTTGACCGAGGCCGCTCTCTGTGGCTTAGGGGACTCACTGTCTTCATTTCCTGTGCAGCTCAAACAGTTGCACCTATATATTAATATTTACGTGACTGCAACACAGGCTCTTGTCAAGCCACGGGGCCCAATCTACTTCCAGAGCACACTGACAGCTTCTATCCTGCCAGTTGGTTCTGGTGGCTTTCTTGGAAACCTCCCTCATAAGGTCAACTGTGAAAGTGCTGGTGAATTTAGGCAACCTCGTTGTGCTCCAGGGTACAGATGTCTTCCCTCTAGGGTGGTTGTTCTCAAAGGAGTGGTTAAATTCCTTATGGATTCAACCATCTGTGCTACTCTTTGGGAGGTCACACAGAAATGGGGTCACAGTTGGAAATCAATTAAGGTGCTGTGCTATGGTGTTAGGTTCCTTCTTTGCAGGTCAGGAGCTCTATGAGATGAGATGCTGCACTCAAAATCAGGAATCCCAAATCATAGTCCCGTAAGGTCCTTGCAATGCAGTAGTAGTGCAGCCCTGAACCAGGGTCTTCCAGCTGCCCTCACTGAGGTGAGAAAGAGGAGTCCTCTTAAAATGGTACAAAGAAAGGAGCTAATTCTTGCTGGCTGGAAAAGAGAACAAGATGCACTTGTCCTGCTCAGGGATCCCAAGAAATTGAAAAGTTCACAATCCTGCTCCTTTTCCCCGCCAATCTGTAAAAGACAACATCCTTCAGACCCTCAATCTGTCATGCAGCAGAACAAGAATTAGCAGATAGCAAGTTTCCCCCACCTCCAAAGCAGACAGTCTCTGGATACAGTATTCCTTTAAGAGTTTTACTAAATCTGCACATGAGCTCAATCTGCCCATAGAAGAATTTCAATTTGTGCAGATGGTATCATTTGGCAGATCACTCTGATGTTGGCAGCATCACAGGGGTCATATTTTTGCACAGATGGACTGTTCTTCATCTGTTTCTTTATTGTAATAGACCCAAATAGGTTTTCCCACAATAGTACATATGTGCATTACAACTCTCCTTGCTTCCTGTCAGACAACTTATTTAGTGAGAGCACACAAAAATTTCTCTCTCTCTCCCTCTCTTTCTCTTTGTTCATGTATCAAGTCCTCTTCGTTTTGGGGATGCAGGGTGAGGACTAGGTAGAGCTATCAAGGATCTCTGTATTCCTGAGACGTAAAATCTGATGGGATCACTAAGATGATATTCAGAGTACTGCTGTGAGTTTAGGATGTATAGATTTTTTTTTTTGGTAAATATTTTTTGCACAATGTACATATTTATTACGGCTCCATCATAAACCAAGAGCACCTACAGCTGACGTGAATTGACAATTGGAGGGATTGGAGAGGCTGGGGAATCAATAATTAAAAACTAGAGATCTTGAAACCAGAGCAATGATTTGACTCTAGTAGTAATGACCAGAAGCTGTTACCATTTGACAGCCGGTTAGAAAATTATGCTAAATGAACTCATTTTTTTAGTGGTGAGATTTATTTTTTTTAAGACATCTATCGTCACTCTCACTTGCAATCTTAGTGTGGCAGCAGTGAACTGAGTGGATAGCTTTCAGGAGTTGTCCTGCCAGAACTGGTTTATGGCATAGGAAAAGGACATTTTGGAAAACTTGCACTGCTTCTATTTTGCTTTACACAAGCATTTGCTTTGTTAATAGAAAAACTTTATCCCTGCATGCCTTACATTTTATTAATGATGAACTTGTCTTGTGAGGAAACTTGGATATTTTCAGTCTACATGTTGATATCAACTTTGTCTTTTCCTTCTCACTTGCTAACTTCATAGATATCACAGGTAGTGCAAATATTTCGGTACGGGCATTGCTTGCTGTGTACAACCATTAAGGAGTTTTCACTGTGTGCAAATGAGAACAAAACAGCTAGGAAGCTTGCACAGTGAATTTCTTGACATGTATATGCCCAGACTCCTAAACATAGTATCTCAGTAATGTAATTTTTATGGATGAGACAGCATATAGAGTACCCTTTTTTTTTCTCAAAAAGAGTACTGTTTCAAAGAAAAGTAGTTGCTCGTAATGTAAACATTACTGAAAAGACAATCCCTTCTACGACTACTTCTAAATAAAAAATACTTCTGCTTATTTACTGATAGATTTTTAACCTTTTGACAACCTAGTGAACAAAAGGCATGAACTGGGTACCAGATGAAGCATTTGAATCAAATCAGGAAGAACTTGTGAGTGAAATTCCAGTAACAACACTTAAGTAACTTCTTGGCTATACTGGGTAACGGGGAGAATAAAATTGCTGACTGTAGTTAAATATACAGATTATTTGGGAAATACATAAAAACTCAAAACCAAGAAATCCCCCAATCTTTAATTTTATATCCATCTGGTAAGTTTTCATAATCAGTCCCTAATTATCTTCTTGTTAATCCATTTCTGGTTACTCTGACACCTTAGAAATTTTGCTATGAATAGATTTCTTGCCTAAGGCTATGGAAAATTATACATGCTGCTATACGTGTCTAGATACAGCTGGTTTCTGTTTTGGGGTCATTTTCTTTTTCCATCACAGTTAATGAACATATCTAGACAAATAGTTGCACTGAATTTTGCTTTTTCACTATGATTCTGGAGCTTAAAAAGCAGTTTAACCAGAATGTTCCTAGAAGACTAGCAGCTACAGGAAGCAAAATAAAAAGAGGGATGCAATTTGTAATGTAGTTCTGTAGCATGTTATCATGTGATAACATATGGGTGAAGAGATAGAGATCAAAAGTTAAAATACTTGTGATGTTGGAGGTTTTGGCTTGTTTTGAGATAATTTAGTGTTTTCTTCTTGAACAAGGGACAAATCTTTCCTCCCGATTTTGAAAGGCATGTGACAGGGTGTTTCAATTTCTGGAAGGTTTGCCCTCTCCTTAGCTATGTCTGATGCAATGCAGTAGGAATTTCAGTCAGCACATTACTGACTGGTTTCTCCAAATCTGTCTCTAACAGCTAAACTTCTTTTCCAGAGTTTGGAGGTTTAAGTAGTTTGTGAAGGTGAACAGGAGAGGACTTTCGCAGAGAGACTTGTTACAGATTAGTTGTACTGGTTCAAATCAGCAAGATAGCTGACACCAAGGCCACTCACGTACTATATTTATATTTAATAAATATATTTGTAGGGGATGGATTCTAGAGAAGATTTTATTTTCTCCTTTCATTCCCCAAATACTGAAATGATAATCACACTAATAACTGTGAATCCTAAACCCCAAAGAACACTACAATATGTGCAGTATACTGGCATAGTAAAATAGCAAAATATTCTTCTGCTCATCAGAAAAGTGGGTTGAGAACTCAAGATATGGGTATCCTTTTCTCTGAGGATGAGTAGTAGCCCTGCTGTAGCTGAACTGTATGATAAGTAAGAACAAGCATAGACTGATGATGCTTTTGTCACAAGAATTAAGATGATCAGCAAGCACCAGTTTGCATAACCTGAAACACTGGTGGGCACTCACAATATGGATTCAATAGAACCCAGATACACCACTGCTGGTCTCTAGCTTCTTGTCTATATCGTCAATATTTCACTTAGGAGGTGATGTATGGTTTCTGAAAGGCAGTGGAAGAGAAGCTTCCTGCTTTACAGTGGATGTATGAGACAGCAAAGCCAGTCAGAACAAGCAAAAAGAACACTTTGAAATCTACAGTCTTTGTGAAAATGAAGGTAGTCAATATTGTGCTTAAATTTTGCCAATAGGAGTTACTTTGTAAAACACTCCAAAATGGAATACAGGCCTGAATACAAGCTGACTTCATACACACTAAGTCAAGTTGAAGTAAATGAGAAGTGAACCCACGGGTTTTATGCTGCAAATGTCTGAGATGTTCTGATAGACACCCAAGACAAGGATTTTAGTCAGATGTTAATATTTATGTCTTAGAGAGGGGAAAAAAATTGGAAGATGAATGTAACTAGCATCATAATGGTGAGATTTATCAGAATTTCCATTATCAGAGCCTGTTTACATGTTGTAAATATTCCCTCTGGGTTGAGACTTAAAATTCAAGGTCATACACAGGAAATTATATTTATCTTTGCTAAATTAAAACATTGGTTCAGCAGCTTTAAAAAAACTGCAATCACAAGAAAATCCTCAGAGTGCAAGAAGTTCAGGTATTTCTGCCTAATAAACATGGCATATGCTGGGAATTTTAAAGCCTTGACCTGTTACTCTGACATTAGTAGTAGAGATATATTGAAAAGTAATGTAATGAAAGTCTTTCACCTATGACTGTACTTTTTCTTGATGACATTTTCTGTTATTTTGCTTTTCAAGCTCCATAGTGTTCAGTGTTCCTTCTTTATATTTATAAGAGGATTTTGTTGCAAATAAGTCTTATCACTATTCAAATAGAGTAATTATTTTGTTCATACTAACATTTCCTTTCCTACACAATAATAAATATATCTTTATACTTCTCTATTTTTGAAGGTATGTAGAAATTAAAATGCACTTAACGACTCCTTATTTGCATGTAAATTGTCAGGATGAAGGAGAATGTGAGGATGTGAAAAATAGTATGCAATTTTCAATTATATATATATATATATTTATATATCTACTATTATTATAAATATCTTCCAAGATTTTTTGACTTCTGATAGCATGTCTTAACTGTTTTTGTGATTTAGAATATAATTTTATGATTTAGATTACTAAGGAGTATTTTATAGTCTCCAGTATATTTTTTCCCTCTAATTCCAAGTTAAGTATGAAAGAATTAATCTGTATGGAGCCAGTCAAATTGTCTGTGAATAATTTTCTGTTAAATAGTATTCCAGCAAAGCGTTCTTCATTTCCCAGAGTATTTTAACTGGTGTTTACTGGAGCTAATTGAATACTGCCCATTTATTATATTGACACATTTTGGTGTGACTGAATACATTACTCAATTAACCATTTCTGTAATATTAGACTAGCTGTAGTTTTTGCTCAGAGTAATAGACCTGATGTGAATTCACTTATGTAGAACCTGCGTGTGGTTTGATAAAACCTTTTCCCTCACTTGTTTTGATCAGAATAATAGACATTAGGTTGTCGTTCAAAACAGATTGTTTGATCTGTGATTTTGCTCCCCTTACACTGTGTGTTTAAGGAAAAGACCCTCTTTTCTTATAGGTCTCTAAATACTTCTTCTGGGTAAACACTAGAACTTTCTTTTTTGAACTTGCAGGTAAAGACACTAGTGTCTGACTCAACTCTTTCTCTTCATCAGAAGTATTTCCATCAATTTCATGGATAGCATGACTTATTTGTTGACTGAGCAGCACCTGTAAAGCCTGACAAAAGTGTATACATTATAATTCATATATGTTTCATTTAAACATAGCCTGCCTTCTTTCTTAAGTACCTCCTTTCTCAATGCCCATTACAGCAACATATTACTCGCATCACCTCAGAGCAGGCTGCTTACACAGGTTGGTAAGGATAGCTTTGCTACCCTGTCCATTGTCCAAAGGGTGCATAAAAATTTATTGCAATCCTGAGGGATAAGGTGGCTATGCCCCCCAAATAGGGGATTTCCCACAGGAAGACAGTGTTTCTTCCCTCATCTGTCAAGATTTCTTGAGTAACTTGTCATTAGTAGTTTATTGTGGAAGGAGAGGTTTACACACAGAATGTCCTGCCAGAAGTGGATAAATTAGGCCATGAATCAGAGAGCTGTCAAGATTCCAGGTACAGCTTATCGTGGTGATGATTAAGAATGATGCAACAAGTCACTTTAGAAGGCAAAGACTGGACTTAAGGCAGGAAGCTCAATGTGATTCTCCCTCTACATTGATGCAATAAGTATGTGTGGTCCAAATGCTATGTCACACAAGTCTGTTTGAGGGCTGAGTCATTTTTCACCAAATGCACCAGAAGTGGCATTAGTACAAGAACAAAAAAAAAAAAAAAAACAAACCCGAGAGTAAAGAGGAATTTGAAGAATCTGGGAAACTATTTTATAGCATTTTATGTGGTGGATTCTGTTCTCACCCTTCAACGTGGAATGAAGGAAGTTGCTAAGGAACACCCTAAAATCATAGATGCCCCATAGCCAAATACTGGTTTTGAATGAGGCCTTTCATCTCTTGCAGACAGTTCAGAGGTGTCACCTTTGCATTGGTTCAATAATAATCATTGCCTTCGCAGGTAAGACAAGGAAAAGTTCATATGCCTTTTTGTTCTTTTATAACAATATAGTGCTAGGGAATTCATCTTGAAATTTATGCTATTATTGCTGTTAGCCTGTAATATGTACTTAAAAACAAGTACTGTGGAGAAGGGAAGATATATGCAAATAAATTATTAAAGAGCAGGGAAGATTTTTTTTCAGAATTGCATGACCCAAATGGTGTGATGGAAGAAAGGTCAGCTTATGTTACATCAGACCTTTAGGTTCTTGTTTCAAATCAAAATATATTTCAAGCAAAACCAAATGCAATCATGCTGAGAGAAAGGCCACAGTAATATTTTGACACTCCACTGTACCATAAAGTATTATCTGATCTTCCATATCACAGAACTTATTCAGTTGGTCTATTTGGATATTTTAGTAATATTCAGTATTTCACATTAGTGGATTATAATAAGGAAAATCAGCCCCTTTTAATTAAAAATGGTTCATGCTAAGTCAACATTTAATATTTTCAAGGCAATTCTTTACAAAAGTAATTAAAATATCTAGACATCTTTTAGTGAGCTGTGGATTTAGGTATTTTGTTTTTCATTCAACTTTTCCCCTTTCTTAAAAGTGAAAGAATAATCTTTTTTTCTTTTTTCTGTAACAGACTGTTACAGAAAAAAACTGGCTGTTTGCGTGGACACAATGCAAAGACCTACAATGCAGACCTACAATGTAAGGAAATGCAATAGTTTCTTCAGTTACAAACTTCTAAAGAGTATTAGGGGAATTCAAGGTGAAATGAAATACTACAGAAAAATCCCTTCAGAGCTCCCACTGAATTCCTTTAAGGCCAAGATTTCATACTTTCACCAGGTCATGTCCTAATCAACACTGAAATGATGCTCAGTTCACAAAACTCTTTTACTGTTCAAATGCCTTCTGGAACTTTTGATATATTTAATATGAAATGTAAGAATGAGTAAAATAAAGTTCAGGAAAAAAACTCGCCAAACTGACAAATTCTCTCCAGCAGCCAAAATTGCATTGTGTGTGGGCTTTTAAATAATTATTATACATACACAGGCAAATTGGCCTAGTGAATATACTGCAAAATTGCTAATGATGAATATTTTAACTCAGGCTCAAATGCTGCTGTAGGTTAATGTTTAGTGTACCCAGTGACTGGAATGGTGATTCTCCTGGGCAGAAGGTGGCAGCTTTTGGCTGAGTATTATTAGGTAATGTCAAAGTAAACATTTATAACTGAGAAAAACAGTGTAGTTGCAATAGCCCACCTAGGCCACCTCATGGCTGTATTGTAATAGTTTCACTCACACCTTCCTCAGCAAGAGGTCAATGTAGATCAGAGAAGCATTTTCTTTTCCCAGCAGCATCTTAATTAAAGAGTTAGTCACTTTTACAGATAATTCTCAGATAAACAGGCTGTCTTCAGTAATTCATAATACAATGTTTCTGGTAAAAATAGAAAGTGCGTTTTAAAGATAATAACAGATCTTTTCCATCCTGCTGACAGATATCAGTTATTCTGGGAAAGCACTGTGGATGTTCTGTAGATACACTAATACGAGGGACTCATTATTCACATGATTATAAGTGTGGTAGGAGAAACTGTCTCAGGACAATGGCTTGGATCAAGAAAACTTGAGGAAAGAAATTTTACAAGCAATAAAACCTGCAAAGATTTGAGCTGATCTTTTGCTTTTCTGCTTCCCCCCTGTTATTAATAAACTCACATCTTAGGAGAAGAGAGTTTAGGCTTCGCTACAACAAGAACTATGTTTCTGAGCAGGCCAGAAAGGACACCTATTTATTATCCTAAAAAACAGCATTGAAGGATGAATTAACAGTTAGTTTATGTACACATTTACAGTTCCAGAAAGCTGAGGAGCAGTAATGCCAGTTGTGAACCAGGACCACTGACTTACAAAGGGTTTAGTCTAAAAGACTCTGCTTTTAGAGTCTTACATGGAAAAGTAGACAGTTGATGGATGAAAGAATAGTATTATAGAATACATAAATGTTTATGAAAAGGGAAAAAATGAGGATTGAATATGGCAAACAGAAGTAATTTTGTACTGTTTTAATGAGAGTCTCCACCATTGCCTTTTTTTTCTCATAAGCTTTTTCAAGATAGGTTGTAACACTGGTATTTTTGATCTGGTATGCAGGCATCTGAATGTAGGTCCTCATTTGCTGTATTGATGCTGACTGCAAAACTGTGGAACAGAAAAGACACAAGCCTGGCAGAAAATGTGTTGGCATGTGGAATTATGTATCTAGGCCCATGGACTCCCAGGTGAAGAAAGTTCAGCTCTTCTCAGCTGAGTCCAATTAAGAGGGTAGGGCAGCATATGAAAGAAATGAAGGAGGAGGAAGCTGGATAACGTGGTGGAAGGTCCAGTGGAAGGGCAGAGGGAGTGACAGGGGTGTTTTGCCTCCTGGCTGAGTCCAGGGAGAGGAGCTGAGGGACTTATCAGCTGACTTCTCTGAATGAGGTTGGGAACTTGGACAAAGCAATAAAAGCTGAAGGCCATGGAGATAGAAGACTGTCTTAACTCCTCAGCTCTCCAAATGAGATTTAGTGAGCAAAGGAACAAGTCAAAATGCAGGCAGCTGATCTTTAGGAGTGGTGGTTGAGTGTGCTGCAAGGAGTAGTTGAGTGTGTTGCAAGGAGTTGTTGATGGAAGGTGCTTTTGCTTAATGGTCTGTGTGACTGTGTGCATCACAGTGCCCCAGGCAAGAGCCCTGGAACTGGGAAGGTAGCAGAGGTGCCAGAGTATTTGAACTGGGCCCAACTTGCTTTACGTGAGGGTATGTGTGAAGCAGATGCTTTGTGGGCTTTCCTGAGCCAAATGTTTGTGATGTGGTTGCAAAGAGCTGAATGTTGTGACTGGGTGGTCCTTTCCAGTTCCATCACTCATTTGAGATTCTGAGGGGTTATACATATGTTATGGATATGCATGCTATATATATATATTCTGTAATACTGAGGAAAGAAAAAAAATTCCCAGTAGAATGTTAATAGACATGGGAAACCTCCAAGAGGATAGGTGGGTTGGCAAAGGACAATCAGCCAGATTATAAGTAAGTTATATGTAATAATTTTAGGGGAAATGTTACCAAACTAAGAATGGGTAGTTTCAGAAAACTTGCCACTTTTATTGTGAAAGTTGTTCTTCACTGGTTAATGAAGTATACTCTCTGAGGAAACTTCCAGTTTTATTCTCTTCTCAATTACCTCATTATTTATATTTATCCAATGCCAAAATCCGCTCTCTGTATCCCCCATAGTCATCTTCTGCTTGGTCACGGACCAACACAGAACAAAACTGGACTCCCTTCCCCAGAAAGGTTACAGATTAGTTATAGACAATGATTGTGTTTATTTCTGCATGTCTCTCTGTTAAATGAGTGACTTAGGCAGCTGTCGGAAGCTGCCAGAAGTCTTTTAGCAGGTTTTACTGTGAAACAGGAATCTCTACAGGTCTAGAAAACACAAACATTAGCTGTTCCCCACCCTCAAATACTTAAAAAAAAAAATTAAAAAATACCATAAGCCAAGAACTATAAGAGATGAGTATAGGAAAAAACCCCAACCACTAGTGTGTCATACTTATCCCAAAGAAATGATGCCTCACAATAAGTGTATTCACTTTATCTTGCTAATATTATCCCAGTGACCTCTGTCTGTTGTTGTCTGTTACTGTTTGTATTTATCCAAGTGCATGCACGGTGCCTCTAGGTAACCTCACTAATGCTGGCAGCACTCTGAATATCTGTTTGGAGAATCAGGGCCTAACATCAGCAAGAGAAGGACTCTTTTGCAGGGAAATGAGGAGGATGAAAAGTCAAATTTTCTGACAGATTTCATTATGTATTTTAAAACCTTGAATAAAGAAATGAGGAAATAATGTTAAATCCTGTGGTGACTTTTCTTTTGCAGTGGAGGTGATACTGGTTGAAGGGGAAACCCCCTACTGCATTTAGCAGAAATTCCCAAATAGTACTTAAGATTCTCCTCTAGTACAAGGAAAGAATAAGGAACAGTTGAATTTGATATTGGCTGACAAAAGCTCCAGGAACCAGAAGGGGGGTAGGTCTTGTCCAGCGGGTGAGGAGAGACTTTGGCCCTCACCCCTCCTGTGAGTGTAAGGCACGAAGAAAAGTCAGTTCATTAGCTGTTTGCGCAGACTCAGAGGATGTTAGCAAGATCTTGCTCACTCAATGTCTTGTTATATGGGATTGCAACCCTCAACATATACCAGTATTACGAAGAATCTCTGCATCTCTTCTGTCATTGTTTGACTTCATTGCTTATCCTGTGTCAGTGCCTGGGTGTTAGTGGATAGAGTTGCTGAGGGTTGCAATAGCATTTGAGTGAACAGCTTGAAAGATGACAGTCTGGAGCCCTTCTTGTTTATGGTTTGTTTTCCATTGGTCTATCATTTCCCAACATGGCAAGCCTGAATAACTTCATGGTCCTGAAACATTTGCTTCAGACTACAAGCTCACCTTCCTTGCAGCAACTTCTTGCTGTGGTGTTTTCCATACTGTGTGATTTGAAAATGCATGCTTTTAATAGCCACACAACACAAATAAATAACACACATGAAAGTTTGTGTAAGTCTGCATTGCAGTGTTTAATATTTTTCAGCCTGCTGCTGAGAGGCAAGCCAGTCAGAATATATCAAAACTAAACACAGCACTGGCAAGATTAAACAGCAGTGGATTTGCACATGTAATAAATCTGCTACATTGAGTTTAATCCATGTGTAATTGGGAATAGATAAGGCTGAAGTTGAATGACTGCGCAGGAACTGCCTCACAGATGGAGGAGGGGAGAGGGGGAGAAGACTAGTGCAGAGAGACTCTGCAGCCCCTGGTTTGTTATGTAGATGTTGGAATAAGGAGTAGGTCTATGCTGTTTTACTGTGAAGGACATTAGAAAAGTGGTATGATGTTGATGAGCCACAAGTACAGTAAAGGGCTTGGCTGTTGGAGAACTTCAAGCATTAACAGGTTGTTTTCCTCCCTGGCCTATGGGAGGGACAGTTATAACTGGGCTTAGTGTCGAGAGATATTACTGATGTTTTCAGATTGTCCTTATTTGGCCAGTCTGATTATAATACAGTAAGTAAAACCAAACAGCGAGAATAAAATAGCTGCTACGCTGTTGTTCTGCCTTTTCCCCATCATCTCTGTTTTCCCATTTAGAAAGGAAAAACTCATGAATGATCCAAACTCCTCCCTTTCCACTTTGAAAATTATAGTACTGTGGCAGTCAGTATCTGTGTTGGTTTTGACTCTGTTCCCTGCTAACTGCTTGGCAAAGGAATGTGATGTTTGCCTCTCTTTCAGCTTCCTTCACAAACCTGTTGGTATTTGTTGGATTTGGACTTTGCTCCCATGAAATGCATGAATGAATAACTTTTCATGTGTTTTGAAATACATGAGATGTACATTAAAAAATATTTTCTTAATTTTATAGGTTGTAATTCTTTTTATGTAGTTTCTCCCTGTAAAGAGTATCTAATTCTCTTTCTTTTTAATTCCCATTTTTAGCTGTTCCTCTTCATTGGCTCTTGCTAGTGCATTACTGCTCTTGTTAATGAATCACTGATGATTTTGGTAGCTCTGTTACCGTCAGACTTGATGCCTTCTTGTCTCTTAGAAAGCCCCTCTGCTGAGCTTTCTGTCTCTATCCCTGTTGTCTTACTCCCGTACTCATACTCTCTCTTGTACCTCTGTAGCCCTAAATATCTGATCCCCTTTTTGTCTCTGTGCTTCCTTTTCTGTGATTTATCTCACAGTTACCACCAGCACACAGCAGCTCAAAACAGGCATTAAATGCATACACAACCAATCTTTTCCACTTATGCTTAATAGACCCAGTAGGCTTGTAAGGACATTCTTAGGAAGTAACAGAAAGATTTAACAGATCCTTAATATGTTTAGCTCAAATCCAGACAGCCCACCCTATTTTCATCCATTACAGAAACTAGAGGATCAAAGGGCCAACATTTATCACACAGGACTTTGTTTTCCTTAGTTGTCTTTCTTTTAATTCAATTAGTATGGCTCACTTTTAAGCAAGCATCAGATTTTGCCACAATTTTACATGACTCCACAGCATGTGACTGTGGAGTTGGGACACTTTTGCCAACTTAGCAGACACCAGAAGAAACTGGAAAAAACACAGTAATTCATCAGTTGGCAAAGCTGGAGTTGGGCTTGTTTTCCATCTCCTGGACATAAGGGTTCTGCCTGGCCTGGCACAGGGAAATTTGCTCTGGCCCTGACCAAGTGCAGAAGTAGAGGATTTTTTAGCAGTTTGATTCTACATGCGCTTTCCTATGTGATTTTGTCTCTGCAAAAATACCCCTAGCTGTGAGTGTCTGAATCCAGAAACAGTGTTTCTGACAGCCCCTACTCAGCTGCTGCTCAGTCATGTAGGTACCACTGACTTTTTTCATTTTGATATACAGAGGTATGCCTGAATCACGAAGTTGTGCCTCTCTGAACACCATGAATTACTACAATTCAGACTGGGAATAAGTGATTCATTGTCCTCACAGTGACACTCATTAGGGGTGTGAAGGCAGAGTGATTTTTTTGCCTGTGTCTTTTTGGATGTGTGTGTATCAATTGAGTAGGTGTTCCTTGAGGTTACCCAACATGCAGTGACAAAACTAAGCTTCTTGGAAATGTGCTCAGGACCCCTACTTGTTTTCAAACTGTAGCAGTGCAACTTTAGTCCTCTTGTTTTACATCTGTACTGGTCAAGCTGGTGGGGAAGTTTCAGGATGGCAAGGAAGGACCTGACCTCTCCAGCGTGTCTGACCCTCAAACTGGACAGCTGTGTTGCAAGGACCATACAAAACATTTAAAGTTCTGTTGTGTAGCATTAAACCTGCATTATATGGGAAAACTGTGGTTTAAACAGGTTTTAAAATGGCTTTTGGTGGTGTCTTTGCAAACACATGCTTCTTCTTCCCAGCACCCCCTTTGTTATCCATGCAGGAATGTCCTGGGTAGGTGTCCTGAGGTGTGTCCCATTGGCCTTTGTTAACCTCTTCCTGTGATTGGGTGTTCCTGTAAACCCCTTGAGACTTCTAATTGGTTACTCTGTGAATCCTCCTAAACCCTATAAATGTAACATCCCCCACAATAAACGCTCTCTTGCCTCCTCTCCACGCCCGGTGTCCTGTGACCTGTCTCCGTGCCGGCCATGGGGCCACGTGCGGGGGGGGAGGGGGGAGCACCTCTCCCCTCCAGGCTCAGGGCCTGAAAAAGCCCTGGGATACCCCTGGAGTTTCCCTTTCCCCATCCCTCAAGGCGTCGCAATGGTTCTTCAGATGGAGACGGAACTAGAACTGGGCCAGCCCCACGCCGTGGATGGGGAAAGAAATCCAGACTGTTGCACAATTTTTTGGCTGAAACAATGGGGCAGGGTTTTTAAAATCTACTCTCTTCTCTTATGGTCTATGCGTTTAGTAATGGTTTGAGTACAAGAACTGTACAATCATTTCGCAAATGGGTTGTGCTTAGTAACAATTACAATAAAATGTAATCCAAAGCCTCTGGATATGGCATTTTATACCTCTTGCTTTGTTATTTCAGAGTCGTGTAATTTGTGCATTTTAGTTTGAGTGATGTTAGTTGTATGTTTTTACCACAGGATTCAAATGAGAAGCTTAATAAATAAATGTAGGATTTGCATGATTAGATTGGTTTCTTACCTCAGTGCTTCTAGCTTGACCCCCTTGGTTCCCTCCTCAATTTAATGTGAATTTCTTCCTCAATTATATTTTAAAATTCAGTATTGCATATGACTCGAGTGTCCATGTTACAGCATGATGGTGACTTGGCTGCTGGTAATTATATGGGCATTGTGGGTGAACAGGATGGTAAGGTAACTAAAAATTAAGTGAAAGTTTTGAGCAGAGAACAATTTAGAAGAAAGTAATTGCAAATGCAGTATCTCTGTGGGGGAAAAAAAAAACAAAACAGAGTCAGGTTTCCATGTGAGACTATGCCTCCCTAATGCTTATGCTGGGGAGTACATAGCATAGTCTATACATTTCTCATATCTATCTCTACCTAGGTTGGTGAAGGGCAATGGAAGATTGGTCCTGAGTTCCTTAGTTGGACTGGTGCTTTGGCCATGACATCTACTTATGCAGCACAGTGCATTACGTGATATTACATTCTGTGTTCATGTTTCTGCTCTAGGCAGTACTACTCAGTTCAAAATGTTTGTTGAATGGTTAACAGGGTAACAATGCAATAGAAAGTGCTGGCTCAAGTGAAAGAAAAAAAGATTTTTGAACCCAAAATTTGGTTTGTAACGGACTTTTTTCACTCTAATACACCTGTTCTGGTCTGATTTTTTTAATTTTATAAGACCATTAGTTCTAGCCCAAAAGTAGTTATTTTGTATTTGGCTCTGTATATAGCATCACTTCTTTAATCCTGTAAGCTTCTGGTATTTTCTCTCTGACAGAACACCCTTCTCGACCCGGACAAGATGGGTTACCAAACAGACTGATGGACTGATACAGCTCAACAGTTCCTATTTGATTGCTTGTGTTTTTTCTTCTATGGTTTTTTTCCTCTGCTTTAGTTACAATATAGTAAACAGGAGTTAGGTGTTCCCTAAGCTTTCCTCACCTTCCAGCATAACTTGGAAATTCTAGGAAGTAAATTGTCTGCATTATTTCAAAGCGTTCCCTGCTTCATGAGTGACAGAGTCACAGTGTGTCTGTTTATCACTGAAGGAAGCTGACAAGTTCTAAAGGTTGACTTCCTCACTATCTCTTTTGTGGAACTGTCCAAGAAATGTGATTCATGGGGAAAAATAGGTAGGTATGAGTACAGGAAATTACATATAATCATTATTAATTTGCACTTTTTTTTTTTTTGTTTCATTTGGGTTTTGTTTGGTTGGGTTTTTTTTAAATGTGTCATTGTAGTTCTTTACTATTTTTGCAGGAAGGGATTAATGCATTGGTGGAGACCCACAGACCTAAGTTGAGGGCTTAGAAAGGGCTGAGACTTTGTTGCCATAGGAAGGCTAGGAACAGTGCAAAGGTGTTTAACCTGTACTCTGTATAATTCATGTTTGGCCAGGATAAGCTGTTTATTTTTTTTCTTAATATATATTAGCACCTAAAGAGCATGTGCAAACCTAATAAACTACTTCAAAAGCATAAGGACCACTGGTGTTCACATACATCTTTAAATCCCTCAGTGAGGCGAATCAATTTTTTCCTTCCTAAAAGCAGTTTCAGAAAATAAATCACTGTTTTCTACAGTGAGTGAAGAGTATGAAGCTTGCATGTATGTATGTATATATGTCTATTGGCCCCCCAACCCTGTCATTGTGGGGAAAAAAAATCCATTTCTTTTTTCACTTGTTTCTTAGTCTAAAATAGAAAATATAACAGCTTTATTACCAACACTTTTGCAATATAAGAAACTGAAGCTAGTAGAATATTGTAGTAAAGAGACACTGCAAATTTTTAGCTCCCTGCTGGTGGGTGTATAGTTTTCATTCTTTTGTCAGCAAAAATTCTGCCAACTGACTTGTGGGTGGAAGGTACAAAATTTGTGTTGGCAAAATAAGATATTTATTTGCTGCTTGTATGGATACAATTTATGAGTCACTTCTGAAAGCAAATGCAAAATATACTTTTTATTTTTCTGTATGATGCTCTGCATTCATTATAAGTGAAGTTTTTCAAACATTTGTCAATATGGTTTAGAATTACCATATAACAGTAGTTACTATGGATGATTAAAATTGTTGAGGAAAAACCTCCTTAACATATTTTAGACTTCATGTACACGTCGATCTCTAAGACAGGGAGATGTTTAGTGCATTTTAATCATATTGCAGTGACTTTGTATAATGCAAACTATCTCCATTGAAGTCTGAAATGAGTCTGGCATGACCCAAAGTCAACATGATAATATATTCTTGATATCCCTTACATGCTGATAACAGTTCAGCTGCACTAAAGGATTTTGTCAAGTTATGTTCATTTTCTATAGGTGTTAATATATTTGGCAACGAGAGTTCAAATTGTTACTCTTAAACTTGTGTTGAATTCGGGTCATCAAGAACTCTAAATTGAGCAATTTCACCACCTGTTGCAGGATGCTGTAGCAAACCTTTGAGTTAAACTGTGCTCCTGTGTGTTGAGGGTTGTAATTTAATCAGAGGCAGGCTGTATCTACTTGTCTTCCTCCTGGGAAAAGATGGAAATATGTTAATTTGATATTGCTATAACTTTAAAAGTTGAAGTAGAAACAGGGCAGCCTAAAAGGATTGGTTTGTCTCCCACTTCGTTCCCCTTGTCTGTTGAGTCAAATCCTTACCAAGATTTTTCTTGGCCTGCTTTCACATTGTTTAGCACAAATTCCATTTTCCTAGGTATCTTCATATTTTAAAGACAAGTGTAAAACAGCAGTTCTATGCCAGGAAGAGATGTTCCTGCAGCTCCACATTAAAGAAACACCAGTGGTCACATTGTGTTCTCACACAAATAAACCAGATTATTTAATCTAGGTTACTGTTTTGAAACTGAAAGAGCTGAATGCTTCTTCTGCTCATTATCCTTCCTAATTCAAGCACCTCTGCTTACCACCCTAGACTGCAGTGTAGGCACACTTGGAATAACAGAGAGAAAACAAAGCTAGGAAACCAAGCCCAGCAGAAAAACATCGTCACAATTTTTAAGAAAAGATCATAGCAAGACTTTGAGTAGGATAGTGTTTCAAAAGATACCTGGAAGTGGAAAGAAAGGGACTATTTCCTGCTGCCTGCATTCCTGCTGTGCATGTATTCAGGGTTTTATGTTAATAGATGAGTTTGTAGGAACTGGTTGCACCCTTGACTTTTCCTTCCAGTAGGAGCAGCGCCCAGAACCCTGAAAAATGCTGCGGGCAGGAGAGCAAGAGCAATCTGTTCATTTTTCCAAATGTGTTTTGGCATAGACATTTTGGTCAACATTAACTTTGTGATACCCATGGTATAGGGGTTCCCATGACAAATACACTCATATCTAACCCTGAACAGCAGGGTTAATCCCAACCCTTCAGGGTTAATTAAGAGGTAATTGCATGGGCCTCAATTAATCCCTGTTTAACTCAGTTGCATTTGGTGGAAGGGCACTAGAGATTAATTTGGCATAGTGCCTCATCAAATTCATTAATTTCATTAAATGTGAAAAAATATTTTAAGTGTGAGGTAACAGTTGTGATTCTTCTGCCCTGTGATGGGATCTAGCAGCACCAGGCAAGACCTTAAATATGTGTCATAAGGCTATAGATATCAGTATGTTTGGCTGAGTTAGAGAACTGCTACCTCTTCCTCTCAGAGGCTACAGAAAATCTGTAAGCTACTGAATCACACAGTAGTAAAGAACTGGTCTGATGGAGCAGTAAGGACATCTTGAATCCCTGATGATTTGTGGTGAGAATGGTAAATGCTTTCTATCCCTCTCCGAATCAAGCCCATGGTGTTTCACACAAGAGTGTGCATTTGCAGGGTGATATGTTACACAACATACCCTGCTTAGTCTTAATTAAGGTTATAACTGAGTGGATACCAAAATGTTTTGTCATTATTCTGCAGATTACTGAAATCTTACTAATGAGATTTGACTCTAACATCTGCTTTAACAGTTAATTTAGATCTAGATGAAGAATTCATATGTGTTAAATTGCTCAGCACTGAAAGTGTGGCTAAAGTAGCCCAACATCAGTCTCTGTAGATTGTTGCTTCTGAGTGTTGAGTAAGTAAGTACCTGACTGAGGGGGACAGGAGGGCTCAGACAGGAGGTAGATTACTGGATTTTCACTGTGTACTTTGGTTGGTTTTGCCCCTACAAGCCCTGATACATGCCACAACACCTGCACATGTCACAAAATACTCTGGTTTCCCTGCCTTTCTCAGTTAACTATCCTCCAAACCTCAAAATCTGGGTGCACTGAAGCTACAGTATATATTCAATATGAAAGCTGACTCAACTTCTGCTGCAATATACTGTACCAGGCAGCTCTCAAGAGATGCTGCTGCAATTTATCACCATAAACTGTTTCATATTGGAACAAACAATACTCATGAGGCAATCTGGATTCAAATTAATTCAAAAGCACCATAACTGAAAAGTGAGCAGTCTCTTTGTGTTGTTTCTTTTAACAAGATTTTATGATATGACTAGACTACAAATAACTCTATTCATGATAAACTGGCAACTTTGCAAATTGTATATGGTAAAAGCTATTTGTTGAACAAGCTGTTCTGGAAAAATACTTAAATGAAATCTTCTCTGCTGGCAGATGCAAGGCATCAATTGCATGGGTACTGCCACGGGTGTCCCATTTCTGGAGCCCCATGGCTGTGGGGGCAGTGGTGAGAAAAGACCATCTGGTCCAAAAACCTTTAATTGTTCAAACTTAATCACTCCAGGGTACTAGAGTAGAGGGCAGGTCCATTTGGAGACAGTTTTCCAGTCTGGTTGGGAAAACATACAAAGATGAAGGAAAGCTAAGTGGTGGAATAATTGCTTTTGGTTCTAACCATTTGCATTTGACTCTCTACGGGAGAGTCAAATATAGCTCCCACTATATGATTTCCTTTTGAAAGCATAGTGATATTGTCTTCCTCCAAAATATCCTAGAAGCATCTCTACTTTAATTTGCACTAAGAGTTCTGCTATTATCCTTCAGAGATGTGCTGCGTTTTCAGCATGAGCCCAGGACATAATTCCAGATAAACTTATCTTTAAGGATGAGTGAACTACTGAAAGAGTCCTAATATGTTTTTGTTCACATTGGTGAATACCTCAATCAACATACCTTATGGTATGGTATGGAACAAGTCATTAATGTATCTTCTCTGTAGGAGCATTTCTAGAGCCAAGGAGAAGCATTATAGTTATGTTTTGATGCACTTATCAAATCATTCCAATTCCTACCTCCAGGTATAATTATTTATCTTGGAAAACCAGCACCATTTGCTCTGGGACCTTTTCAAATTATTTTTACTTTCATAACAATAATTGTAAGTACATTGGAGATTAAAAGCTATCTGTAGAGCAATTAGAAGCTCTTGAGAAAAGCTTGGATCTTAATGTAAAGCCATCTATGGGCTAAAATTTCTATTGCACATGTGAGATACACCTACAAAATAATAATGCATGTGAAGACAGAGTATAAAATGTGAAAACAGCTGGAGGGAGAGAGGGTTTAGACATCTGAATCTGAAACCTAAAAACTTTCTCAGCTGCCAGTTAGCTCTAGAATGACCTAGACAAGTAGGCAGATTGTGACAACAAAGATTTGAGGTACATTATATTCAACTTCTTAATAACCACAGAAGTTGCCTGCTTTTGGTAGGCATAAACATCATACAGGGTTGAGCACTGCAGGAATCCACAAAATGGGCTATTTTGGGAAAGCAGCTTAGTATAATGAATGTTTTCTAGGTGCTTCTGATGCAACAAGCTCCCAGTCAGATGTCATTTTCAAATGGCATTTTCAAACCTGTCTCATTTTTAAACCCTGATGTGGAGGAGTTGATATTGCTGCCTTCTCTGCCTATCTGAAAAATCGATATTTAGAGCACATGTCCAGAACATGGGAACTGGAGATTTGTCACTTATGCAGCATGTATATTTTCTAAGAAATGGCCTAATTATTTGGATAAAAAAATTCAGTGAAGTAGATGAACTCTCTATTCCTGTTGTTATGTGCTTATGAGCAGCCCGGGGTCCTTGTCCTGAGGCTTAATTAGATCTTTCAATCAAGGATTGATTACTGTAAGGAAACCAGTCCCTGACAGAGGAATCGAAGA